CGAAATTTACGAAATTGAAGAAATCGTCACAGGAGTAGTAGTAGTAGTAGTCACAGCGCGTTTTAGTCGTCCAACCGGTCTGACCAGCGACCGTCTCTAACCCCTACTCGAAGCCCGGAGTGGAGGCCGGTTTTTGCTCGCCTATTTTCTTCCGATCCGACACTTTTCATTCTCGCACTGTGTTCGCGGAACAGTGTTCCCGGTCGGATCGATCGACTGCTAACTTTCACTCCCCACCCTCCCACCCTTCCATCCATCCACCTTATCTTCTTCCTTTCACAGTGTTCCACTCGCGTCGATCCAACCGTTACCGGTCGTCTCATCGTTGTACAGTTTTATCTAACTTCGTGGCTCGTAACGAAGTGATCACAGCGTTGTATTCAATGTTCGCGGCCCGTTCGCTGGACCATTGATCCTTGGAGTCGATCTCTCGTCCCGTCCCAATTCTCGATACATTTTCGTAACTGTCTTTAACCGCACGTTTCGCCCGACTCGTACGCGCGATCGCCGCGCCATCTTCGTTTATTTCGCCTCCTCGAGAAGCACAAGATCGTCCGCCACGACGTCGCTGATGTGCAGGTAGATGATCCAGTACATTAGGTTGAAACAGACGAAGCATACCGGAAACACGATGCGGGAGTATTTATCGATATCCGATGGCGTCATACCTGGTATGAGAAAGAAGAGAGAGAAAAAAAAAAGCACAGTTTTTATGTTGTAATCAAAGTGTGTAAATTTCTTCGTACGAAAGGAATTATCACGGATGTGAACAATACATTTTTTTATTTAAATACATCGATGTCTTACTTCTTACCGGAAAGTAATAATAATATCGATTTTAGATCGAGAAACGATTTTTAAACAAACTTGATTACTCTTGAAGATTTTTATATATCACATTGATCCGAATTTGATTATAAAAATTCTGTTTACACTTTTCTATGTAAATACATCGATGTCGTACTTCTTGCCGGAAAATAATAATTGTATCGATTTTAGATCAAAGCTTTCGACCAAAGCTAATTTATTATTACTCTTGAAGATTTTTATATAGCACATTGGTCCGAATTTGATTATAAAAATTCTGTTTACACTTTTCTATGTAAATACATCGATGTCGTACTTCTTGCCGGAAAATAATAATTGTATCGATTTTAGATCAAAGCTTTCGACCAAAGCTAATTTATTATTACTCTTGAAGATTTTTATATAGCACATTGGTCCGAATTTGATTATAAAAATTCTGTTTACACTTTTCTATGTAAATACATCGATGTCTTACTTCTTGCCGGAAAATAATAATTGTATCGATTTTAGATCAAAGCTTTTGAACAAAGCTAATTTATTATTACTCTTGAAGATTTTTATATACATCGTTGATTCGAATCGAATAACAATTGGAAATAATTATTGCGCGAGAGTTTTAAAGGAAGTTGAACTCGTACCGTAAAGCTTGTTGATATCCTTCCCGGGATGGATGAGATGTTGCGGCGCCGGCGCTGCCTCCTCGTCAGCCCGCCCATTTATAGTGTTCTCGAGCGTTCCACCTTTGCTGTGTGCCTTCGGGTCGTGGACCTTGAACCGCACCTCCTGGACAACACGGGACCACTTACAAGAGACACGGCAGTTCGTGGTGGGGCGTCCTTTTTCGAGGAGAACCCCTTACTTTGGTAGATTGGCATGCGACATCGAGGATGGGCAAACGCGTTCTCTAATTTTACGATTCCTCGTCACTTTCAACCCTTCTACGACTCACCTTTCACATTCTTCGCTAATTCTCTCCCCTATTTTTCACGTTCATTCGCGTTCATTTCAACGTAACGTCCTCGTGCTCGGATTTAATCACGTTTGGAAAGGGAGGGAAGGGAGGAGAGCTTTTTATTCTTATACGTGTCATTTCCTTTCTTTCTTTCTTTCTTTCTTTCTCCCTTTGCTATTTTTTTTATCTTCCCTCTCATAAGCCATAAAAACCCTAGGCCGACGAAACGAGCCGGCTTGTCGCACCGTCTCGTTCTTGTTTATAGCGCGGCACGGCTCTTTACAACGTGTCAAAGAACGTAATAATAATTAATCCGGTTGAGAATTAATTAAAACGTCTTATCCTGGCGACGTTTTATGCGCGATGGCACCGCAATGCCATCCATCCGTCACCACCGCCTCCTTTCTGCTACAACCTTCTTTCTCTGTCTCTCCCTCCCTCCTCCCCCGCTCCCTTTAATATTTTTCGTTCTCGTTTCACAATCCCCGAGATTAAAAGGAAAATTTATAGTGCATCGCATGTCCGGGCATGCGAACCACGCCGACCGGCACAACACGACCGAATGGGAATTCATTTCACAGAACCTTTTAGCTTTTGACCTTTCGCGGTTCACTCGGTTTTTGAGCGAGAGCAAAAGGAGAAAAAAAAAGGAGAAAAAAGGAATATTTCGTTTTTCCATACCTCTGTTTTTCTTTTTCTTTTCTTTTTTTTTTTTTTTTTCGTCGTTGGACCGCGAAAATGAAAGATCGAACGATCGAAATCTTATCGCGTAACAACTCTATATTCGATAGCGTAAAAATGCGAAATTTGCAATAAAATAACGATGCAAGGCTAACTCTAAGCGCTAAGTGAGATCTACTGCTAATCATTACTGCTATTCTACTTTTAGATTTTTCTTTTTCTCTTTATTTTTTTTCTTTAATCTAATTCGATAAATCTAAGTTTTCTTGAAAAGAATTCTAATTCCAATCGGAAAGAAAGACGAATGGGGTAGGGCAGGCCGGCCGATTTTACACTCACAGTTTGCTTAGGCGCGTGATCGCCGTGATCACCGGGCACCCCGGGCGGGCCCGGGTTTTCCCTCGCCGTCTTCATACTCTCCGCGATTTTTTGGAACCGGTTCTTCCTCATTTGAATCCTCTTTGCCATGTAGCCCACCGTCGCGTATTCTGTGAAAACACACACGGGGAAATGCGAATAATGAGATCCTCCCATTGTCACGTTGAAAAGAACTTAAACCCGTAACCGATTCCAATGAAGAGGAATCTCCTCGATTTCTCTCTCTCTCTTTCTTTCTCTCTCCTCAAAAGAACAGAGAGAAATACCAACAGTTTTAATTTTTCATTCGACAGAATGATACCTTTCCTGATACAAAAATCAATCATATTCTGCATAGAAGATTAATTGTAAATAAAATTTCATTCTCTTCAGATAGATAGATATACTTTGTATATTTGTTTCTGATTTTTCTCGTTTAATGATGAGATTAGAAGAGAAGGAATAATTAATTTTTTGGCAATGGAGACTTACCGAGCAACGAGGCGAACACCATGACGAAACACGTGCCCAGGTAAACGTCGATCGACTTGACGTAGGAGATTTTCGGTAACGCCGCGTTCGTCGAGGACATTAGGGTGGTCATGGTGAGCACGGTGGTCACTCCGAGGGCGACCCGAGCGGGGGTCGCGTTACGGTTCAGCCAAAAGCTCACCCACGATATAATGACGATCAAGCCCGAGGGTATGTAGATTTGAATCAGGTAGTAGCCCATCGACCGTACGAACTGGATCTCGCAGGCCAGCCGCGAATAATTTCCTACGATTAAAAGATCGACAGTTAGGATTAGGGGGGACGGAGAGGCGCCATGAAATGTCTCTTCCCGTTTCTTTCTTCCTTCGTTCTATTCTTATTTCTCTCTTTCGCTCTTTCCATTTTTATACTTCCCTCTTCTACATCTACATACGTATATGCATGTATCTCTCTCTTTCTCCACCGGCCCCTTCTCGCTTCCTTCCTTCTTTTCAACTCTTTCTTCCTCTCTCTCTTCTCCTCTCGTCTCGAGGCGGGATGATTAAGCAAACTCCCGTCGTCCCATCTCCATGCTTGATGGAGGATCCTCGTGCGTGCGCCTCGAGAGAAAGAAGTTTTGGCGAAGAGGGCGGAAGGAAGGAAGGGAAATCGAGTTGTTGCCCTCTTCCCGCTTCTTATTTCCGCCGACAAAGAACGAGGGCGGCTACCATAGTTCGCAAGAAGAATCGCGGGAAGAAGAAAATGGGATTTGCTCCGATCCCTCCCTCCGATTATCGAGCCGAATCGTTAGCTCGAATGGAAGGCTTCAAAGAAAGCGCACGAAAAGGTAAAGATGAGATTCGTTCGCGTGATTCGTCAACGGGATGATCACGGCGTTCGTGTCTTCGAACGAAAGGATATTATTAAGCTTCGAGCTTTGACGAGAGAATCCTTGGATCTCGAAGGAGGAAGAGGAGAAGGAGGAGGAGGATTCGTTGGAAGATTCGTTAGAAAGATTTTTCTCGATTATTATATAAATTTTTCGAAGAAGAGTTGACGCTTGGAAACGGTGGATATATCTAAAAAAAATTTTCCTCTCAATTTTCCCCGACCAGGTCGCGAGAAAGAGAGAGATATCGATCGATCGATCGATACGCAGAATAATAACTGTTGCTTCGACATCGTAGCTGCGGACATCGGATAGCGCAAAACGTGTCTCTCCACCTTGCCCATACCGTTAAAAGCGAGGGTTGAATTATTTATTTATTTATATATATATATATATGTATTATTATTATTTTTTTTGGTTGTTGGTG